GGATGTTCCTACGGCCCTGAACAAAGGCCGGAATCCAATGCTAGGAACGCGCAGGTTCGGATAGGCCTACGGCGTCCAGAAGGACGAAGGAAAGCCAGCAAGGACCGAGAGACTCATCATCGCATCCACATTACGCAAAACCTCTGCTTGGATTTGGGGTTCTGGCTTGGTCTCACAACCCTCAAAAAAAACCCAAAGCCCTCGAAACACCGGGCGCCTGAGTCTCCGCTGTCGCCGCCCGCCGTTTGCGGACACAGAAGCGACAGACCGTCTCGCCTCGGAGGTTCGTTCGAGAGCCTTAATTGGGGTCTTGTTAATAGGGATCTATAGTAAATAGTGTGGTTTCCTTATTTATGGTAACATAGATTAAATCCCGTAACAAGAGCCCAGTAAATGGGTTTTAGAGAGCCTTTCGAGTTTGAAGCGTCACTGGTTTCGATTGTCTTGAAAGGGGATTCATATTAACGACTGTGGGGTCTCCCAGAATTTTACTGTAGACTGTAGCATGCTGACATGTTTCAGGGCTCGCATCTAGGGATCCAGGGCCGAATCTAGGGTCTACGGATTCGGGGGTTTCCGAAAATAGGGGACCATAATATAGTACCCTAAACAGTAGGATCCTTATTATAAGGACCCCAACATAAGGTACCCCTAATTTTCGGAAAGTTCCATTCCAGCTTAAAGGACTAATCTGTGTTATCAAGCGGGTAAAATTTTGGAGGGCAAAAGGACTAAGTGCTGTAAGGCTTCGGAGATGTGTTAGGGGCTTTGGGTTTCGGGCCTTCGGAGCGGGGGTTGGGAGATCTTCGGGCGTCTAGGGCGCCAAAGCGGTCTTTCATGGACTAGGGGTTTCCGGTTTGATGGCTTAGCTGGTTGCAACAACCTCGGAAGTTTGTGCAAAGAAAGGATGTGTAGAACCTTCTAAAGCTCCAGGTCGAGGGTTTCAGCAGCACCCTCAGTCTCCCTAAACCCTGCAAGTGCCAACATAAGATTGACACTTCTTCAGCTGCCGAACTCAGTGTACTGCGTTCCGAAGCTGTGTTACCATCCAGGACAAGCTAGTCTTTCGACCGAGGGGAGTCGCCGCCATCAGCCGCGACAAAAGAGGGTCGTGCGGGGCAAGCTGTTCGTCGACGGTGCTGTGACTTGGGACTTCGTGGTTACCTCCAACGTTCCCCCGCTTGCATGGTAGCGGAGCCACGGCTCCTTAGTCTGTGCGATCCAGGGACCTCAATCGAACCGACCCTGCGAGTGGCCGGGTCAGGATGACGAGCGGGACGCAGGGACGTTCCAAGGAGGGCATCCCGACGTGGGATGGAAATGCAAATACCTTTCAGGCATACGAAGAGCAAGTGCTGGTTTGGGAACAAGGAATCAAGCACGAGAACCGTTATCTGTGTGGGCCCCGTTTGGCAGGAGAACTGTCAGGCGCGGCGCAGCGGATGATTGTTGGAAAACCTGCTACGTGGGTGTCGTTCAATGGCGGCGTGGCAGTTTTCTTGCAGCACTTGAGACAAAGCCTCGGGAAACCACAGATCCCCGAGGCCACCGAGTTCCTCAACAAGTACTTTCGGAACAGCAAGCGACGAGTAGGCGAGAACGTCAATGACTACATCACGAGGAAGACGGAAACGTATTGGCGAGCTTGCCAAGCGCTGCGACGAGTTATGCCGAAAGGCCAGGAGAGTGGGTCCTGGCAACCGCCAGTCTCCACCTACGGATGGTCCAGTCGGCGATCGAGCTGGACCTCCAACGCCGCCGAGGCCTCTACCGCAGAGCCCACCGAGGAGACATGGGCCCCTCCAACGGCTTCCTGGAATTCCTGGGGATGGAATTCCTATGGCGGCTGGAGCAGCTACCCCAGCTACGGATATCAATCCTGGACATGGAACCGGGACCGAGCTTCGGAGGCGGAGGCTGCCGCTTCCACCATCGAGATCCTGCCGGAGTTCGTTCAAGCTTGGTACCTGCTGGCAGATGCTGGATTGACCACGTACGAGCGGAATCTCATCCACACGGCTGTGGCTGGCGAGTACACACTCGCCAGGGTGTCCCATGAACTACGAACACAACATGGAGATGTGGAACACCGACGGCGAGAGCAGGGCGGCCAGGCCTTCATGGGCGACGAGATCTTCGACGAGGCCTACGAGGTGAACGATGCCGAGACCGAGGAGCCCGCCATCGACCTGGACAGCTTGAACGAAGAGGGCTCGGCGCTGTGGGCCGAGAACCAGGCAGAGATAGATTCTGCCTACGCGGTGATGCGCGAGGCCAGGCGCACCTTGAAGATGGCGCGCGAGAAGCAGCACCAGGTGAAGATGGCCCGGAAGTACTTCCAGCCCAAGGACTCTGGACCCAAGGACGATTCCAATATGACATGTCTGCGATGCGGGAAGCTCGGGAACCGAGCTCGCAACTGCCCAGCGGCAGCGTCGAGCTCCTCCACCAGCGGCGGCACCAAGCAGATGGCTCCTTTCGTCTGCTACGCAGAGACGCAGGAAGAGGCGCTCACGGCGGGACCAACCACAAAGGAAGCTATCCAGGATGGCTATTGTGTGGTAGACGGAGGAGCCACCCGAACCTTGGGCTCCGTGAAAGCCCTCGAGCAGCTGTTCAAGAAGAATGTGGAGCGCTACGGGGAGGACAGAGTGCAGAGCGTTGACTTGAAGGACCGCCCCACCTTCGGCTTCGGGAACTCCACGGAAGGGCAGTGTCTTTCCTCCATCCACCTCGGCGTGAACGCGGCAGGCCAGCGAGGCAAGATCGTGGTGCACGCATTGGATGAAGGAGAAGGCCCCGTGTTGTTTTCCATTGATGCGCTTCGGAAATTGAAAGCGCTCATTGATTTCGAGAAAGACTTGATTGTTTTCAGGGCACTCGATCCATGTAAAGTCGTTCCCTTGAAGCGGTCGCAGACAGGCCACCAGCTCCTGGATTTGACAGCGGATCTTTTTGAGAAGGCGAGGGGGAGAACGAAGCCCGTCCCCTCTCTAGATGAGTTCCTGTAGGGACAACTCCTCCCGGATGACGATCCTGGCGTCAAAAGGGAGGACACAGTGTATAGACCAGGTAGGGGACTTGCATCATGTCAGAGTCCTCACGATGATGATGGTGAAGCTATGATAGCTAGTGTTGATGTGGAATGCTCAGTTTTGGATTGCAAGGGAAGCGACCAGACAACCACCGCCACCGGTAGCCCGTATCCCAGCTCAGACTCACAGCCTCAGGACAGGGCCCTTCCTCCACGCCTACCAGAGAGCTATGATGAAGATGAACCAAGCACAACTTCGCGAGGCCATCCTTGCCAGGGGCGAGGAAGCACCGCGAGAGTGGAGCAATGTGGAGCTACGCGACCGTCTCACAGAGTTGATGGAGCTGGGAGGCGAGACAGTGGGCAATGCGCGGAAGCCCGACTTGAGACAGTGGATCAGCGACCTCAACAAAGCAAGCCGGAAAAAGGAGCAGTTGAAGAACTTTTGCGAGGAGCGCCTCAAGATCACGCTCCAGGGCAACGAGACGATACCTATGTTGCAGAAGCGAGCGACCAAGGTGATCTACGAGGTGTCCATCGCGAACGCGCTGGACCCGGTCGGCTTCGGCAAGTTCTCGACGATGACGTATGGACAAGTTCGCCGCGAACAACCCCAGTACTCTCGCTGGGTGCAAGAGACCCTTCTCGAGGGAGGGAACTCCTGCGACTACCGGTTGATCCGCCTGGGCACATGGCTGATGAACCAGCCGGACGAGGACACCGAGGAGGAGAAGGCGACCGGCTACCCGACGGCCAAGTCACCGGCACGAGCGGCTCCCAAAGCATGGGCGCCACCGAAGGCCAAAGGTGCCAGCGGGGATGCACCTGCTGCTTCCAGCAGTGCCGGCGACCACCAGAAGAACCAGGCGGACCAGATGAAGATCATGATGGAGACAATGATGGCGATGAAGGAAGAGATCCAGCAGTTGCGCGAGAACCAGAATGTGGAAGAACCCCGACGCAAAAAGAAGGAGGACTCCGAGGCTGGGACAACGGAGAACAGCTACGCAGTGGTGATGGACCCGTGACCTCGCCGACTACACGATCAAGGGCCGAAACAACAGTTTTTGAGGCAATGCTGGGCGAAGACGCCGGCAAAGATCTCGAGATGCCCCGCCCCCTCTCCTTGGGCGCGGCACGAGTTCTGGAGACGGAGTCTTGGAGCGCAGTGCCAAAGTTGTTTTCGAGCTTGACGCAAGATCAACGACCCTTGCTCATAAGTGACCTGTGAAAAAGAGGGAGTCTTGGCCGAAGCAGTGCGACGTGTGATGGGTAGTGAGACTGCTGCAGTGAGTTGCCCTCTGTGGAACACGAGCGATCTAGGTAAGTCCGAGGGTGTTCATCTCGTGCTTGAACAGGTTGAAGCCTTGAGGCCCAACATGGTGTGGTTGAGCCCTCCCGGAAGCCCGTTTTCCCCCGTGCAAAGATCCAACCAACGAACGGAAGCCCAGAAACAAGAGTTGGGAAAACAACGACAAGAAGCCCTTAAGACTTACGTAGGATGTTGTGTGATCTGGCATTACTGTGTGCAGCAGGGTATACATGTTGTGCTGGAGTTTGCTGAGAAGAGTGATGCGTGGAGACTGCCTTTGATACAGGGTCTGGTAAAAAGGTACGAACCACATTTCGCCACCACCAAAGGATGTCGGGTGAACCTTAGGGACAAGGAGGGGCGCTTGATTCAAAAGGGGTGGCGGGTGATGACCACGCACGCACGCCTGTCCGAGCTGCTTCACAAACCATGCACGTGTGATGGGAAGTATGTTCATGGGAAGTGTGAGGGAACCACGTCCACCACAGGAGCCACCTACACGAAGGAGTACCAAAGGTTGGTGACCATGGGAGCACAACAGGAGCTGAGTATGTATGGCGTGCAACAGGAATGTCAGGGAGTTCCTCAAACCTTGGACCTCTTTGGGGTTGGAAGTGCTTGTGTGTGCGACATGACATGTCATGCCAGTACCAGACAATCTTGTGCTGCTTGTGTGCTTGAGAAAGAAGAGGAGCGGAGAGAAGAGAGTTTGGTGACCAAAGAACCGTGTAGCACTACCATGAGCATGGAACAAGAAGCCCACCAGAAGAGCCAAAAAGCCTCATTGAGTTACAAGGACATGGAGCACTTTCTTTGCAAAAATCTCTTCTCCCTTAAGATTCCAGGGCTGCAGCGGATAGTGCGAATGATCTGTCTGTGGGGTGATTCCTGTTGCACCCCGCCTCGGCTGATCGGTCCTCCTATCTACAGACCGGTCTGCCGCCTGAAGAAATCTAAAATCATCACCCCCCGAAGCAGTCACGACACGCAGTATAAACCCTTATCTGAGAAATACGGATGTGACTGCAGCCGGGAAGGTGGTACCGCGTTCCGCGGCTTGCGGTAACGTGAACCGTTTCAGGTTCACGACGCACCCTCAGCCTATCAACAACTCCTTGAAGCCGTCGGCACTCGGCCCTTGCCTCACGCAAAGACTTCTCAAACTCCTCGTTCTCACGGCACTTCTGCACCAAAAGCGCTTGCAACTCTGTACACTTGTTGACGTACTCCTCACAGAAGCTTCTCTCACTTTTGCTCATGCCGAGGCTTGCTTGCACATGCTTGTCGTAGCTGTCGGCTTGTGGGTTCACGGCTTCTGCTGGCACCTTGGCTGCCCTCACCTGGCAAACACGGAAAACTCTCCCCAAGCTCCACTTAAGCAGCTTGAAGACACTGTAGGGCAACCCGAACACCACCACCAACACCAACAGTCCCACCATGGTTGTCACGGTCAGTGCCACTATATCTTCTGGCTCCCACGTAACCAAGCTCAAGCCCTGGGCTCCTTCGACCTGCGTAAGCATGAGCAGCATGGGCAACACCGCCTTGATGTTACTGACCTTGGCCCCGGCGTTCGTGAAGCTCTTGAGGGCCTGGCTGAGGGCCCGCTTTTCGTCCGCTGCTTCCTTGTCCGCTTGGCCGTAGGGGTCGCCTCCAGGTAGCAAAGCTCCCATTGTGAACATAAGTTCGCGGATACGTGGGCCACCAAGGGGCTTCGTGCCCACGTCCGCTGGGTTGAGGGCCCCGGCGATCGGCCCCACGGTCAGCTCACACCTTTTCACATAGCTTTGAATCCATAGGGACCCAGCATGGAGATGCCTCACGCGGCCACATCCAAGCCTCTGGCTGATGGCTCTCGCGGATGCGCTGTCACTTCTGCACCTGATCTCGATCTCGACCTCCCCATTGGCCAAGTATCCCAAACAGTCCTTCAAGTACAGCGCCTCGCACGCGCCGCCCAGAATGGCCACAAACTCGCTCTCGGCCGAACTTAGGGCGATGGCCTTCTGCGTGCGCACAGCTGAGCCCACCAACGACCCAGCCACAAAGTATTGCATTGAACTGCGGCTTCGGTGTGTTCTCTTGCAACCGCCCCAATCAGCATCGGTGATGCTTTCCAGAATCACCTTGAAGGGCCCACCATCCTTCTCAGCAAGCTCCTCTTTGCCTTCATAGGAGAAGCAAGCACCATTGCGGAGGGGCTTGATGATGAAGCCGGTTTCCGGGGTGGAGAGCAAATACCCAACCACCCGGTGCAACCATCTCATGGCCATTGCCGTTGGGGAACTCATTCTTGAACTCAGGATATTCACGGCAAACTGCACGTCTGCTCGGGAGTGGGCAAGGTACAAAAGCCTGCAGCCTGCCCACCGACTCCTTGTAGAGCTTGGCATCGCCTGCATTGAGCGCGCGGCTGGTGTCCTGCTCAAGGAAAGAGTTGTCAGCAGGGCTGTCCCTTGGTTTCACCTTGGGCCCAAGCGCGGCTCGCAAAGCTTCGAGGTACCGGCTGTTCGAGTACACGGCCACACCCTCAGACACCTTCACATACTTCCGCTTGAGGACGAGATAGCATCCCCAACCTCGAGCAACGGGGAGTCGACCTGCAAAACGTGACCTTCGCCCCAAATGTGGCTTCGAACTTGGCTCGCTCGGCTCGGGTGCTGGCAAGTAGGCCGTCATCGGCATGCAGAATCAGGGCTGTGTCGTTGCCCTCCTCCTTGCTCCTGAAGAGGGTTGGCTCCTTAATGTAGCTCTCGAGCTCCGCCTCGTGCAAAATATCGCGGGCAAACCCATACCAAGCTGAGGCTCCAATCCTCTGGCCCGGCAACAGCTTGTCCAGCACCAGCGTCACGGTGCCGGGTGCATCCTCGCCGAACATGCTCCTATCCACCTGGATGAGCGGGCTTGGCTGCGGGACATTGAGGTAAGCGTCCTTCACGTCAATCGTTGTTATTTCCAGTCCTTTGACAAAGCCCAGATAAACATGTGAACGGTCGCCAGGGTCGAGGCCGGCGCGAAGAGCTCCTGGGTGTATGCCGCCATCGTTCTGAATTCGCGCCCCACCAAGCGGCTGCGGCGTAACCACCCAGGCCGCTTCCTCCAATCGCGCACGACTTTCGTCGTGAGCACCTGGTACCCACTCACGTTCTCGCCTCGGCTGGCCACCGAGCCACGTCCATCTGAATCAACCGCGTGATTTCCTTCTTGTCGGCCTTGCTGTCAACGAGGCGAAGCTCATCCTCACTGAGTTCCGGCGGGCTCTCACCGTCTTCGTCCCACCAAGCCTCAAACTCACCCGCCAGCTCGCTTTCCTCCGCCATCGTGTCGCAAAGGTCCTCGCTCCAGTCGTCGTAGCCAGCTAGCTCCTCCGGAGGAATGTCACCGTGGACCATTGCGACACCTGCGTACCCTGGAGGATAGAGCTGTCCTGGTGGAGCGGTTGTGGGCGGATCAAAGGGTTATCACCAGTTCGTCCGCCGAGCTAGAAGCGCGGGAGTCCGGATCGGCTCTCATTTTAGCTTATCGTGATGCAACAAAGCTGAAAAGAAGCATGTGCAGCTCAAATGAAAGCAAAAAGCCAAAAGCGTGGAGCAGCAAGCAGCTCTGAGTTTGAGTCTGAAGAAGATGCAGCAGGAGGAGTGGTGGAAGGAGCTGCTTCAGCCTTCTACCATTCTCCTGGGAGAGTCTGACAGCAGAAGGTGGATCTTATGGACCCCAAGGGAGTTGTTTCAGAATTCAAGATTCCGGGAAAGGCGTTGACGACTGCCGAGTTGGAGCTGCTGGCTAAAGAAGCTACCGTGAAGTGGAGTAATGTCGGGAAAACCAAGTCCTGGGATGAGATTCGAGCGCTCTTGGAAGTGTATCGTTTCAGCGGGGTACAGCTTACGGAGAACCCTCGGAGAACCGAGGAGCATCGTGCGAAAGTGGTTGAAGGGTGTGATCTTAAGCACCTTAAGGTCGAAGAAGCGGCGGCAGTACAAGAGGTCCTTCGCCGAAAGGCAGGAGCCTTCTGGCTGCCTGGGAGCCCGAGGACCACGATCCTCCACATGCAGCACGATATTGTTTTTTCGGGCCCGCCGGTGAAGACGCCTCCGCATCCGCTCTCTCCGGAGCAGGCACAATGGATTGATGATAAGGTCAACGAGGAGGTCGCCAGAGGGCAGTTGGTGAGAGGTTCGAGCCCCTGGGGCTCTCCGGCGTTTCCTATAGGGGAAGCCGGAGCCCACCAGCGAGCGGGAGATTATAGCTGAGGCTGCTGGGTCGCTCTGGCTGACCATGCTCGATGCGGTGACTGGATTCAATCAACTGCAGAACAGTGACAGGGCGCGCCGCGTGCTGGCAGTGGTGACGCGTAGCGGGCAGTTTCTCCCCACGTGTTTGACGTTCGGGCCTGTAAATGGTCCGGAAGCGTTCGCTTATGTCATGGACCGAATATACGCAAGAGGGTCCGGTCGGGTGGCGAGAGCCGCGTCCCAATGGCTGGCTTACGTTGACGACCATACCATAAGGAGTGGGAGGATGTCAATGGAGTCGCCTATAAGGACTCTGAGGTTTCAGACCGTATCAGAGAAGCGGTTCACGAAAAGGCCCCACCGGAGGATGCTTGCCAAGATGTTGCCGAGGCTCTCGAAGCTGCTGGGTTCAGCGCTCGAGGGCTCGGGGTGGAAAGGAAAAAGGAACAGAAAGGAAGCAAAAAGCACACGACCGAAGCTGACC